ACTCTACCTACCCTCCAAGCTTGGCTGTTACAGGGGACGCTTAGGAGGCCCAGGAGGGGCAGTGGCACCTAGTGGGCACCTTCTGTTGGCTCCTTGACAGGGAATGCCTCTGACAGGTAGGCGTTAATATCCCCATTACACAGATAAGGAAACTGAGGCTTGGAGAGGTCAAACAAACTTGGTCTGCTCAATCTAACAGCCTCTTTTGACCTTAATCTCCCCTCCCTCCACTTGCAGAGGTTGTTGCAACTCCTGCAAAGACTCCATCGTGGGCACATCTGGAAGCAAGTTCTTCGTGTAGGCTGTAATTAGCTCCCTGAAACTCCCACTGTTGACCCCAGCACCGGCTCTCAGCTGTACAAGGAACCAGGCCCTCTGTCCCCAAAGCAGCATTCAGAGACTGAACCCAGCTGGACATCCCCAATTAACCAGTGTGCCTCCCTCGGGTAACTCGCCTCTCCAAGCCTCAGTTTCCTGAGCTGTAAAATGGGGATGGACTTCTCAGGTGGCTCCATGGTAAAGAATCCGCCTGCCAATGCAGAAGTTGCAAGAGATGTGGGTTCGATCCCTGGGATGGGAAGATCCCCTGGAGAAGGAAGCAGCAACCCTCTCCAGTATTCTTTCCTGGGAAATCCCATGGACAGAGGAGCCTGGTGGGCTACGGTCAATAGGGTCATAAGAGTCAGACACGACTTAGTGACTAAACAGCAGAAACCTCTATGAGAGGGGTAGTTGGGAGGCTCAGGGAGTCCATAATTCTGGAACATTCCGGGAGCTTCCAGAGTCTTCAGAGAAGCGCCAGCCAAGGGGAGAGGCTCAGAGGGTTTCCAAAGGCCTGAGGCACCTTCCCCTAACGAGGAAGTGGCCTTGAGCAGGGCAGCCCCACCATGGGGGCCGTGGGACTCAGGCTTGGAGCATGGCATGAGTAGGCTCTCACCTGTGTGGCCTGGCTCCCCCCAGACCTGGCCCGCCCACAGAACGTGATTCAGTCTTGGGAAGGGACGGCAGGGAGAAGGGCCAGGTGGGTCTGCATTCAAGTCCTCTGTCTGCATTCACCAGCTCTGTGGCCGTGTGGCTGTCAGTCATCTCCCTGCTCTGAGTCTTGGCTTCTCCAGCTTCCTGGACCTGTCTCAGGACTGTGAGCCAAGAGTGAGGCCAAAGCTGGGTGGCCCCTCAGTTAGAGAACCGGGAACTGCTATCCCCCTTGGGGAGAGCCGGCCTGCCCCCTCATCATCTTCCCTGCCTGGGAGCCACTGGACAAACACACCTGGGAGCAGGGCTCCATGTCTTTGCACATTCTGTTCCCCCTGCTCATCATGCTCTTCCAGGCATTCTCCTCTGTATCCCGGATCCCTCCCTCCAGGCTTAAGTCACCATCTCTGTGAGGCAGGACATGTGGCAGAAAAGGCACGGAGTCAGGAGTCCACTGATGGGAAAGCTGAGCTGAAGGAAGGGGAAGTGATGCGTCCAGGATCATACCGTTGGAGGGGGGAGAGCCAAGGTTCCAGCCCAGGCTCTGCTGCTCCTCCTAACACCTCTTGAGGCAGCACTTAAGACCTTCCCCAGCACACCCCCACCAGCCACGCTGCTCCCACACACGGCCACCTTGGAGCTTTTCCCCGCCTGGTAACCCCAACCTGGAAAACCTGCCCTTCTCTCTTACTCACCTGGGCCCTACTGACTCTTAATCAGTGGTCACCTGCTCAGCAGGTCCATCTTTAGCCTTTGGAGCACACTGCCCATGTATCCACCTGGCCCTCCTCCCTGCCCAGATCCTCTTCATCTTCCGGGTTGACCCTCCTTCGGGAAGCTCCCTCTGACCAGCTGGACCAATTCCTCCTCTGAGCTCGTTCCCAGACACCATCCCCTTCCACCTGCTTTGTGATTTCTTGCTCGGTGCTCTGTCTGCAGACTCAGGCTCTGTGAGTGGGACAGGAGGTCTTGTTCACATGCATCACGTCAACACCAAGCGCAGCACTTGGTACAGACCAGGTGTTCAGTACTTGCTGTCCCGGCATGGAATCCATCCATCTGGCTTTTCATTCAACAGATGTTTAACGAACATCAGGGAAAGGGCAGTGAGAAGACAGGGCGGGGAGCTCTGCCCTGTACAGGTCACGTCCTAGTGACAGATACAACACATGTGGCATCAGGGCAAGTGGGAACAGAGGAGCAACAGAGTGAAGAAAGGACAAGAGAGTGGGCGGAGGATGGGGGAGGGTTGTCAGGGAGATTCTCTCTGAGAAGGGGACATTGGATCTGATCTCTGAAGGAAGAGAGGATGTGGTATTAAGAACCAGAAGTAGATACTGGGGAGAAGGAACAGCAAGTGCAGAGGTCCTAAAGTGGGAATACACATGGAAGAATAGCAAGGAGATCAGTAGTCGTGTACAGATGTGAAAGCTGAATAAGAAGGCTGAATCCTGAAGAATTGATGCTTTTGAACTGTGGTGCTGGAGAAGACTCTTGAGAGTCTCTTGGACTGCAAGGAGATCAAACCAGTCCATCCTAAAGGAAATCAACCCTGAATATTCATTGGAAGGACTGATGCTGAAGCTGAAAGTCCAATACTTTGGCTACCTCACACGAAGAGCCAACTCATGGAAAAGACCCTGATGCTGGGAAAGATTGAAGGCAGGAGGAGAAGGGGACGACAGAGGATAAGATGGCTGGATAGCATCACTGACTCAATGGACATGAGTTTGAGCAAACTCTAGGAGATGGTGAAGAACAGGGAAGACTGGCATTCTGCATCCATGGGGTCGCAAAGAGTCAGACATGACTGAATGACTAACAACAACAGTGAGCGAGACGAGGAGTGGCAGGAGCTGAGGTCAGCAAGGGACCAATTAGGGGCCCCGGGGCAGGACTCTACTTTGACCCTCAGTGAGCTGGGAGCCATTGCTGGGTTCTAGGCAGAGGAGGGCAGGGTCTAAGTTCTAACAGGATCACTCCGGCTGCTGCATGGTGAATGGATTCCAGGGACCGAGGGGGAAGCAGGAGAGCTGAGAGGAGGCTGCTGCCCTCACGTGGATGGGCAGTGCAGGTGGAGAAGGGGTCGAACTGCTGGGATATTTTGAAAATACAACCAATGGTATTTGCTGATGGTGAATGAGCGTGGGGGTGGGGTGGAGAGAGCTCGAGATTATGAAAAAGAGTGGCGTGAAAGACCATCCCAAGGTTTTTGTCCTGGGGAAGTGAGTAGAAAATGAAGGTGCTATTACCTGAGACAGGGAGGGCAGTGGGCATGAATTTCAAGAGCTCGGTTTGTGACCTGCTGAGTGAAGCTGTCCTGTGGACATCCACGTGGGGACGTGGCGGGAAAAGGCATCAGCCGGATGGGCCTGGAGTTGGGGAGAGAAATCAGGCTGGGTGTGGGTAGCTGCGTCTTGCACACAGTGAGGGCCTCAAGAGGGACCTGAGGCTGGCCACAGCCCAGCTCCTGGCCTGTCGGAGAAGCAAGACAAGGACCCCAGGGCCACCCACAGAGAGCCCCACCCTGAAAGCGTTCATCGGATGACATGGCTGGAGGGTGAGCTGGAATCTCTTGGCCAAGGTGATACACCTTGAGAGCTGGCAGGCAGAGGTGGGACAGGCATCCTGAGAAGGCAGGTGCTGTGGCTTTTGGGATGGGGTGGGAAACAGGAGAAGGAAGGCCCAACAGAGCCAGTGGAGTTGAGGGGTGGTTCAGTGGATGGTGCAGGAGCCCAACCCCTGGGGCTTAACTTAACCCCTGAAGCTTCCGTCTTTGCCTCTAAAACTGGAATGATAACCCTGCATGGGTTGGTGTGAGGATCAAATTAATTCATCCAGACAAAGTACGCAGAATAGTGATGGAAGGTGCTGGAAAACATGACCTACCCTTTAGTACTGAGTCTGGAGAAGACAGCGTGCTTCAGCTGAGAGGACAGCAAACAAGGGAAGAGAACAGCGCAGGAGGCCCAAGTGTGAGGGACCTGGGGCCCGGGTAAGGGAGGAACTTTGTTCCCTTTGGGCAGTGGGGAGCCATGGAGAGTTCTGTGCCGAGGGGAGTGGGGCTGTATTCACTCCTTGATTATCCTCTACCTGCGCTCAGCCTGACACACCCCTTCCCATCCCAGGCCCGCAGTCCTACCCAGCACCCTGCCTGCTTGGCTCAAGGCACATCTCCTGTGAGAGCTAAGCTTTGGTGAGCGTGTGCTACGTTAGTTCTTTTAGCTGCCCCAGCCATGAGGTCTGTCCTGTTATGATGGTGGTTTGACAGACGAGGAAACCAAAGCACAGAGAACATCATACAGATCAAGGTCATCACGCAGATCGTGGCCAGCAGAGTGGACTCAACTCCAGAATCTACCCCAGCCTCTCCCAGCTCTGAGAAGCGGCCGGGCATTGTGGGCAGCGTCCAGCACCATGCCCCTCTCAGCAGGCAAGGTGGGGTCCTTATGCCCACTCACAGGGCTGCAAGGTCAAGGGCCCCACAGCTTGTCCACGAAGGAGCTGAGACTCCAACCCTGGTCCGTGAGACCCACGTGCCCACACGAGGGGCCTGGCAGGCACAGCACCCGGAAGCCCGAGCTTCCTCTAACCTGAGCCTGCATTCGGGTGAGCTGCCTCAGTCAGGAGCTATTTCTGAGGTCCCTCGCTCCCCTTTGGGAGGATGGGGGAGACGGTGGACTCCTCCTGCCGCGCTGCTCTGGGGCTCAGGTCCCAGCCCTCTTTACTGCCTCTTCCCCTGCTCTGTCCTCTCAAAGTGGCTTTTCATCCCCGAACTGACCTGGCCCACCAGGTCCCAGCCCTCCCCTGCAGAGAGGAGACTGAAAAGCAGGCTTAACTGCATCCACTTAACAGTTTCACAGCCAGAAAAACCAGCAGAGGGAAACACAATGTTTGCAGACCGAGTCAGGTCCAAGGTCACTCCATAAAAATGGATTCCTAGAAAAACATAAACCAGCAATTTACCCAGTGAATTTTATTGGCTTCCAAAAAAAAAAAAAAAAGCTATCCCATTTGAATAACGAAGAGAGAAAACATCTCCAGTTCCTCCTTTATTAGTGAATAAGGACACACAAAAACTCAACAGAGATGGAACATGCATTCCCAGGCAGTTTCAGGTCTGGTTTATTAGCCACTTTCATTTCATAAAAACCAGCATTTCTATTCAAATAGGATGATGTCCAAAAGGTCTGTTAGCTTTTGAAAAAAAAAAAATGTATTGAATACAGGTTAAGTCTTAGTTCTATTTTTTGTTTTTTAAACAAAGCTCAGATCCTCCTGACTTCGCGCCTGTTACTACAGCCGGAGGGAAACTGATTACAGAATCCATCTGATATGTCGGATTTCTTTGTGGCATCCACTTCATCGCTCAGCAGCCAGCCATGATGTCATAAGCCCATCAGATTTCCGGTAGGGGGGAAACGCTGGGGAATTGGAAAGAATGGATGTTTCTTACCGTCAGGAAGGGGAGGGAAGGGGTTGGGTGTGTGTTTGGGAGGCAGTGGGGGGTGCGCGGGGGACATGGGGACGGGAGGCAGCCTCAATGTTTGTGATATTAAATGTCAGGCAAAAACCTGAAAAATCCAGCCACCCAGATGTTTTCGAAATATCCAGATGTCTGGCATCGAGCAGACCGCGTTCCCTTCTAGTCCCCTCCCGTCCCAAGAGGCGTTCGACATTTCGGCTCTGACCTCAGGTCTCCAGCAAGTGTCCACCCTCGGGTTTGGAATTTTTTTTCTAAATCTTTACACATGGATGACAGGCATAACTAGGTCCAGATTTTTAAAAGCTGTTGAAGCAGTGATTTGAAAAGTTCAGTCCCTGGAATTAGCTTCCACGGAATACACTCTGCAAGCCAAAAAGGAGGAAAAAAAATCCCTCAGCCAACACACACACACAAACATATGTGACTCTGAAGCCACAGGAGTTAAAAACCCCAAACAAAACCGAGGAGTCTGAGAACCAAGGACTCTCGCCTGATACTGAGAAGCGATGAGCCCTCCCCCAGGAGCTCGCTTCCCCCAAATCAGAAAAACACCAAACAGCTTTGTTCTTCCTGACAAAGCCCCTCGCTTCCAAGGAACAGACAGTTGCCAACAAAAGCACAGGGTAGAACTAATTTACACTCAGACTCAGGGCTTCAAGGAGTCATAAAGTACAGAAATGGAAATGGCTTTGCCGAGGACTCTGCCTCCCTGCCACTGGCAATGGGGACCCCAGCGCCTGGGGGAGCCCTGCAGGCCACAGACGGAGCAGAGTCCCGGCTTCCAGTGGCCTGGCCACACGCCCACGGAGGCCACCTCCGAGGCTTGTGGCTAATTGCTCCTGAAAAAGAGCCAAGAACTGCAGGCCCCTGGGGTCCCAGCTCTGCGACTTCACAGGGAGCCAGGAGGAGAGGCAGCTGGGGAGGGGGAACTCTCTCCAATTAGACCTGAGAGCTTGGATAACAAGGAAGGGGGTGGTCAGGGCTGGGGGTGGGGGGTGTCTGGCAGAGGGCAGGAGGAGTTGAGTGGGGGCTCAAGATTGGAGGTGGGGGGTTCAGTGGCATCCTCTCCTAGGGCAACCCCTGAGCTTTTCAGATGCAGAAATCGAAGGCCAGGAGCGGCTGAGTGGCCCGCCCAAGGTCATCAGGCTCATTAGAGGGACAGCTAGTACTGAGGGAACGGAAAACACAGGCCTGGCACTGCGTGGCTCTTCCCTGAACGTTATCTAATTTAATCCTCGCAACACCCTGTGAGGGAAGGATTATCATTAACCTCAGTTTCCAGAGGAGCCAATGGAGGCTCAGAGAGGTTAAGCAATTTGCCCAAGGTCACACAGCCCAGTCATTTGCAGAACTTGGCAGTGAACTACTGACTCCAAATCCAGTGCTCTTTCTGCTGGGTGGGGGGAGGCAGTGAAGGTTTAACGGGGAACAGTGATCTGATTTAAATACATCTTTAAAATGCTGGTGATCCCCATAGAACAGAAGGGATTAAATCATTGCAAATTAATTTTTTAAAGCGACTCCAGTCAGGAGGGCCGGGGCGGGGGTGGTGTGGGTGGGTGGGGAGCCCGTTTTCATTCCGTCCCTGCTGGAGCCTCAGTAAAGCATGCAGACACTGTCTAGCTGTGCGTGGAGGCCACTCATTCCCCTGAAGTGGGGGTTGGGGGGGTGCTAAAAGCTTTGTCAGGCGTCTGTGAGAGCGGTAATCTACCACCAGAAAGCTGCTAGGCACACAGGTCTGAAGAGCCCCGGGAGGGAGAAATTCACTGAGGACAGAAACTATAAAAAAATGAAAGTAAGAGTTGGCCCTCTAAGCCTGATTCCTCCTTTCCAGCCCGGAATTTAAATGAACCGCAGATTACCTGGGCTTCTATCTGTGGCCCGGAGGCCTGACTCTGGGTCCTGTCTGTCCAAGATGTGGGGGAGGAGGGCGGTTAATGTGGCCCTGTACCCCGGCCCTCCGGGGGACCCCACCTTCTCCCAGAGTGGGATTTGAAGGAAGCCAAGCCTCCCAAGGCTGGGACACACAAATGAGGGTAGGCTGGTCTGAGCTCAGAGAAAAAGACACTCACCTGTCCCCAGGCCCCCCCGCCGCCCCGAGAGTCTCTTCACTTCCCAAGGGCCAGCCTTGGCACTTCAGCGGGCCATCCGTGCCAGGCCTCTCCCTGCCCTCTTCCTCACCAAGCCTGCTGGTTTCTTTTCATTTGTTTCTGTGGATAGCAAATGGGGTGTGGAGACCAGGACCCAGGCCAGGGAAGGGGAAAGAAAAATTTCTGCCATCTGGGTGCCTGATCTGGCTGAGCAGCTCGGGTTTTTCTGGGAAAATTCTACTCATCCTTTATTTGATTTGCCTACAAACACCCTGAGACTCAGCTCCTGCCCTCCTGGCACTTACAACCGATGGGAGGAGTCAAACGTTAACCCAGTAATGCCATAAAAATGTCCCTGGAAGGAGGGGTTCCCAGGCTATGAGAGTGCATCATAGGAGAAGTGTCGAGTCAGGGGACATCAAGGAAGGCTTCTTGGAGGAGGTGACTGATGATGAGGCATTAACCCTCCTGACTCATGTCACCTCTGTAGAGGAGCCTTTCCTGATGGCCACTCAAGGTTGCCTCCTGTCCCCATTCCTTTCCTGATTCTTGTTCACCATTTGTTTCCCTGCACTAGTTTGAAGTCCCCAAGAGGTCAGAGGTCTGCCCTGTTCGCCACTGAATTGCCTGTGCTTGGGACATAGTAGATGTTTGATGACTACTTGTTGATAAAAAAAAAAAATGTAAACAACATGTACAAAGGACCTGTGGTAGGAGGAATCACAGAGACCAGGATGGTATGGGAGTCAGAACGGGGGTGGGGGGTGGAAAGCCACAGAGAGTAGTGGGAGATGAGACAGAGCTACCCCCAAGAACCACCCTGGACCGACCAGCATCTCCTCCAGACTCTGGGCCCCCTTCTGCTCTTCCCCGGTGGCAGAGACTGGGGTTGGGTATCTTCCTTCTTCTCTGGAGAGTCAGAGTGTCAGAGGGATGCCCTGCCCGACTTGATCTGCGCCAGACAGTGCTCCCCTGGGGTCGAGGCAAGTGAGCACTCACATCACCTGCCCAATACTCCGCCTCTCACCATTGCCTTCCTTCCTCCATTCATTCCCTTGCGTGAACCTGTGGGGTCACCCGGAGCCCCTGAGAGGCAGTGGGAGGCAGATCCAGGGCCTGCCTACACCCCACCCCCAGGTTTCTTCTGCACCCCGGCACCAGCAGCCCGGCACCCTTTCTCCTCCCTAAGCAGAAGTGGAAGGAGAGGAGCAGGGCTCCGGGCTTGGACCAGACGGGTTTGTGTCCCCTAGGCTGATGACCAGCGTGTGTCTGGACACCAGGCCGGCCTCTGCCCCTCAGACTCCTCCCAGGTGACAAGCAGATGCCCCAAGCTCCCGCGGAGACAGAACAGGTGTGCCCCAGAGGCTCGAAATCAATCTCTGGTTTTCCTCTAGGGCTCGGTTCAGTCACTCCTGAGGCTGGGGTCCAGGGTTCCCCCGAGGGCGCCTCGAGCCAGGGGAAGCGGCTGAGACCCACGGCGGTGACGGAGGTTGCGGGGGGCGGGGGGGGGTCCCTGCCCCAGCGCGGACCCTCCCTCTGCGCCGCCGGCGCCGCACGCTCTGGCAAAGTTTCTGCGTCTGCCACCCGCCCGCGTCTACACCTGCTCGTGGTTCTGCGGCGCGTGTCCACGGCCTCACCTGCCCCCTGGTCGCTGGCTCAGTCATAGTCCGAGTCCCCAGTCTCACTCGCCAAGAGTTAGGAGGACCCTCAACCCCAGCCTTAGGGATCAGTATCGACGACCTCGGGATTTCAGGGCGGGGGGACGCCTCAGCCGGCTCCCCCGCTCTCGTTTACACCACTTCGGCAGTCCCCCCAGGTCACTGGACACGTCTCAGCTAAGGGGGCCGCGTCCACCTCGCCTCGGAGACACCGCAGCTCTTGGGGCCGCGTCCACACTGCTCAAGGCGCAGGAGACCCTCCAGAGCGCGGACCTGCACGCAGACCCCCGCGAAAGACAGCGGCTCAGCCTAAGAGGTGAGCCCGGATCTCCCGCTGGTGCCCTCCACGCCCAGACCAGCCGGCCGGGAGCGGCTTACCTTGCCCGCGCCCTCACGCTCCTGTCCAGGCGATACCGTCTCTTTCATATATTGCGCAATATTGTCGATGGTGAAAGAACATGTTATAAATCCTCTCCCGGTCACTTGGCAGTTCCCCACCCTCCCGCCTTTCTTCTTTTTTCGGCGTTTAAGACAATACTCGGCCCCAGCAGCCGGCCGCTGGCCAGGGGACTCCCGGGCAGGCACCGCTGGCCGCGGCGGGGCGGGCTTTGGGCGTGGTCTGGGCGGGGCCCGGCGCCATGGGGGCGGGGGCGGGCGGNTAGAGGGGGAGATGAGCAGCGTGGCGCAGTGGAAGCATGCTGGGCCCATAACCCAGAGGTCGATGGATCGAAACCATCCCCTGCTAGCCCTCAGCTTGGGCTTCCCTTGTAGCTCAGTTGGTAAAGAATCTGCCTGCAAAGCAGGAGACCAGGGTTCGATCCCTGGTTCAAGAAGATCCCCTGGAGAAGGAAATGGCAACCCATTCCAGTATTCTTGCTTGGAGAATCCCATGGACAGAGGAACCTGACAGACTACAGTCCATGGGGTTGCAAGAGTCAGACTGACTTAGCGACTAAACCACCAAAATGGGGAGACTGAGGCGCTGAGAAACGCTGTCACTTGGGACATGCTTACATCAGTGGACTTCAGCTCCCCACACAGCGAATCCCCATGAGGTGTCCAGGCCTGTTTCCCATCTGTCAAAAGAGAGTGTTGGGTTAGAGCCGAACATGGGTTAGAAGATGAATTGTTTCTGTGAACAGATTATACTGTGCTGCTGTGCTTGGCAGTAAGAATGAGACAGCTCGGCCTTCATGTTAAAATCCTGGTTGCCTGCTGTCCCGTCTCCCTCCCTTACCACCCCTCCCCTCTAATCACAGGGGAAGTAAAAAGCACTCTGTTCAAACCAGGGGTACCTTGCGGGTACCTTGCTCACTTCTGAGGGTTTGGGGCCATGTAGGAAGATTTTATTGGGGGGGCCCAGGGGTTCTCATTAAGCAAACTGACTTGAGCAGGCATGCTGTTCTGGGGGGAGAGCAATTCTTGGGAACACCCTGCTTCCCAAGAGAGTCATTTTGATTGCAGGGTGGTCTCTGATATAAGGTGGGGAGAAGGCTTCCCCTAACAATGGAGGATGTAGGAGCTGCTCCTGGAGTTGGGTGTGCTAGGATTAGAATTACCATGCATGTGTGCTCAGTCATGTCCGACTCTTTGTGACCCCACCGACTGTAGCCCACCAGGCTCCTCTGTCCATGGGATTTCTGAGGCAAGAATACTGGAGTGGGTTGCCATTTCCTCCTCCAGGGGATCTTCACGACCCAGGGATTGAACCCGCATCTCCTGTGTCTCCTGCATGGACAGGCAGATTCTTTACCACTGAGCCACCGGCGGGGGGAGGGGGGGGCGAATCGATCAGATAAAGGCTGAGACCCTCAGCAGCCAGGCTCAGGTTTGCAGAGGAGCCAGCTTGGTGGCACAGAAAGTTCTCCCTGAGTCTCTGGCTTCATATGGATTTCTTGTAAGGATGCCAGTCATTGGATTCAGGGCCTGCTCTAATCCAGTATGACCTCATCTTAATGTCATCACATCCGAAAAGACCCTGTTTCCAAATCAGGTTACATTCACAGGTACTGGCGGTTAGGGTTTCAAACCTATCTTTTGAGGGGACACAATTCAACCTGCAAGGCCCAGTGAGGAAGGACCATTCTGGTCAGACAGGAACAGCAAGAGTAGGGACCCTGAGGCTGCCCAGGGTACATTACCTTCCTAGCTACCCACTGCTCTTGTGGGGCTTATCTTTGGCTCATCTCATTTCCTGATGCCTGGCAGCTGCCTAAACAGAGCCAGGAGGGAGCTGACCCCCTGAATATCAGCCTTTCCTTCCAGCAGACCCTGCTCAACCTGGGACCCTGAGGATAGCCCAGCCTGCCTTCCCTTCTCCTGCCTGCTTGGTTCCCACCCCCACCCGCATCCCACACGCAAGACTGACAAGGACAATAAAAGCTGTTTCCCAAGCAGGTGGTGATTAATCGCCAAGTTAATTAAAGAGGCAGTAATTACTCTTGGATTTCAGAGGAAGGAGTGATATCTTAGACAGGGGTGGGTGGTCAGCCATCAGGTCTCCCTGAAGTGGTGGGGCTGGAAGATAGAATGTGAAAAGGCAGGAAGGAGAAACAAACAAACAAAACATTTAAAAAAACAAGTAACATTTAAAAGCTTCAGGCATAGCTGTATAGTTTTATTTGATAGAATCAGGTGGTGGGCTTTAGATTAAGCCTGTCTCAGTACTTTTCCATCTTTGAAATATTTCATTAACAACAACCCCCCAAAAAGGCAAGGGGAGGTTAAATATTTCAAAACTTCAGTTTTGGATTTATAAATGGCCTCAAATACCATGACCTCACTTCACACAATGGAGAGAACCTTAAAATTATGTGTAAATCAAATCCCGTTTGCCAACCCAGGACATCTTAACGCCAGTGATGCTCTATCTTCATTTCTGACTGATTTTTCCCTGGCAGAGGTGCAAAGTCCTTTGCTTTAAGTGTCAGGCTGTCTCTGTCAAGTAGTTAATGACCTATAGAGCACTTAAAACGTACTGGAGGAGATGCTGTTTGGAGGCACCCTGTTGGAGGCACCCTGTGGCGTACCCTCTCCTATTGTCAGTAATCACCCCTCTTTTATTTGCTCTTATTGGCTTGGAATTTGCTATCAGGTTTCTCCAAAGTGGAGCCCGCCAGGAAAGGTCCCATTCCACAGGGACCCAGATGAGTGCTGGGTTGGCATCCAGGGGCAGCAGGCGAGGAGGAAAAGAGTCAGTTTCTTGCGAGTCCTTCTTCATGGGTGCCCTGGTCACCCTCTGAGCACACTTTCTTGGATTACTTCATTCCTCCTGCCGCTGTGGCCACCCCAGCCTTCCCAATTTCTCCCCATCATCTGTCTTCAGCCTCAGCCTGTCTCCTGACCCCTTGTGTCGGCTGCCTTTGGAACACCTCCCCCTGGTGGCCACCTGGATTTCTCCCCGCATTGCTGCTCTACTCTTGTTCTGCCTGAAATGCAGGAGATCCAGGTTCGATCCCTGGGTCCGGAAGAACCCCTGGAGAAGGAAACAGCAACCCACTCCAGTATTCTTGCTTGGAGAATTCTATGGACAGAGGATCCTGGCGAGCTACAGCCCATGGGGTTGCCGAGAGTCAGACACGACTGAGCGACTCACAATTGCACTTTCACTGCTTCTGTTGACTGACACCAGCCTCTGTCCACTGGATGGGGGTATGGACATCAGTCAGCCAGTAGGTCATCAGGTCTCGTTGCCCCCCTCCCCACCCTCCACAAAGTGGCTCTCAAGTCTGGTTCCCTGTCCCAATCTCTATCTCCTTGCTCTCAGTCCCAACCCCAAAGCTTTGACCCATCTCAGCAGCCTCCAAATGGAACAGGCCACCCTCCCCAAAGTCTCTCAGTCGAACGAAGTCACCTAAAGAACAATGGGGGGGATTTTGCTCTCCTGTTCCCCAACCTCTATGGGCTCCTCAGGCTTCAGCCTGATATCCGAGGCCTGTCACAACCCGGGCCTGGCGTCGTTTCTCCAGGCTCCTCTCAGTGCTTCACCATCCCTGCTGTCTCACTCCTGTCTTCAGGCCTTTGCTCATGATGTTCTCTGCACCCTCATCCTTCAAGGGCACCTCTTCCAGGAAGCCTTCCTTAGTTTGCTCAGGATCTCATAGCCCTTCCCGTGATGTGTTTTCCCTGGAGTTACGCTGTCTGCCTGCCTTGTCACTCATTCAGGGACATTTACCGAGTGTCCACCGGGAGAGGAGTTGTTGGGAGCACCAGCTTTGTTATCAGACAGACCCAGATTCAAATCTGCCTTTGCCCCTTGCCAGGTGAGTGATCGCGGGCATTCACTGACCCTCTCTGAGCCTCAGTTTCTTCCTCTGCCGTGCCCTAGAGCTGGGGCCTGTCCTTGGGCAACTGGAGGGTGATCCCACCCTGGCAAGGTCAGTGCTGGGAGTGAGAGGTGAGGCTCAGGCTGGGGTGAGCAGAGAGGCTGTGGCTGCGGCAACCTCCAGGGTCAGAGGCGTGAGGAGTCATCACAGGGAGCACACAGCAGGTGTGAGCGCCCGACTGGGGGCCTGGGAGGCTGAATCAGCTCTTCCAGCAGGAAAAGGGCATCCGACTCCTACGGTTGCCATAACCAATTGCCCCAAACCTGGTAGCTCAAAGCAGTGTATACTCCTTTTATACTTCTGGAATCCAGAAATCCAAAATCGACTTCAGTAGGCTGAAACCAAGGCATCTGCAGGGCCATGCCCCTTTCAGAGGCTTTGAAGAGAATGTGTTTTATTGCCCTTTCCAGCTTCTAGGGCTGCATTCCTTGGCTCACGGCACCTACGTCCGTCTTCAAAGTCAGGAAGGTGACATCGCTAAATCTCTGTCTCTCCTGCCACCATCACATTGGCTTCTGCCTTCTGTCTGTAAGCTCCTTCTGCATCTCTCTTATAAAGACACTTCTGAGTGTAATAATCCAGGATAATCTCACCGTTTGAAAATACTTAATCACAAGTGCAAAGTCTTTGCCATGTTAGTATTTATGGATTCCAGGGATTCGGAAGTGGACATTTTAGGGGGAACCATTATTCAGCCTACCATCCAAGGCAACTGAGCAAAAAGGTTCCGATCACAGGCTCTGAAGCTACTTTTGGGGCTTGAACTCTGCAGCACTGTGTGCCAGCTGTCTGGCTTTGGGCAAGTTGCTAGCGCTCTCTGATGTTCAGTTTCCTCGTCTATGAAATGGTAACAGTGCCTGAAGGAAAAGTGAAGGCGTTAGCCGCTCACTCGTGTCCGACTCTTTGTGACTCCATGGACTGCAGCCCACCAGGCTTCTCTGTCCATGGGATTCTCCAGGCAAGAATACGGGAGTGGGTTGCCGTTA